TGCGTTGATAGAAGACGCGAAATACGTACTCGCCGTCCGGCCTTGCCACTGCACTGGGTAGCTGGGCAAGTAGGTGAAGGATCTGTTCGTGCCCCAGGGTCCCAAGAGGTGTTTCGAATCTTTGCCCGGTCTGCAACGCCGCGGTGAGTACCTTGGCAGCATGTCGTTGCTTGTCAACATCGGCGTGCTCGTCCACTGCTGCGAGCTGGTGGAGGATGTGTTCGACGCTGCCGAGAGTGGGAGGAGGGACGGTGGATGCGGGAAGGGGGGGCGGTGCAGGAGAATGAGAATGTGAGCGAGAGCGAGAGGAATGCATTCCCGTGTGGGGATCGGCGGACAGACCAGGATCGATGGATAGTGTTGACATGGTTGGAGACGACTAGTGCAAGGGCGTAGGTCGATGTTGTTGGGAATGCTTTTGACAGCGAACTGGGTGGCAAGAGTGTCGTATATGCGCGCAAAAGTAGTTGTGAGTGACCAGAGAAGGTGCATTCTCCTACGTCTGAGTCTCCTAGGCCTCATTCTTCTCCTACGTCGTCGAACCATCCATCGTCTGTACACTTGGATGGAGACTAAGAGGTGAGATATCAGAACCTTTTAGTCGGGGTGTTGAACAGGAATTGAAGGCAGATTGTCCTGGACAAAAGAGCATGCGCCTAGGTGAGGCTAGGCATATTACGACTACAATCTTCCATTTTATGTACAAATGAGGTATAGCAATTGTGAGTGTTTTGAGGGCAAGATTCATGATGATGGTCGTCTGGAGTAAGGCGGCGTGGACATCAGGACATTACGCTGCGGTCCAACGACCGTGCCATTTCACCTTCGACGTCCACCATTCCATTCCCCTCCCTTATACTCCTGTTGCCTGCGTCGTATTCGTTGTTTCCTTCTTGCTTTTTCTTCCTATAATTCTCTTTGACACTGAATGAACGTCTGCCGCCCATCATGGCAATCACTCTCACTGCCGAACCGCCAGTTAACCCCCCTGCACCCGAGGAAGAGGAGCTCTACTCATCTTGGGCACTCTTCATTCTTTGCATCCTCCTCATCGGCGCGCTGTTCACGAGCTATTACCTACAAATAAAGAGGATCAGAGCCGTACACGAGACCGTAGTGTCGATTTTTGCCGGTGAGCACGCCCTGCGTGTCAATAAGTATCTAGCTAATATACACCACAAGGGATGGTTGTCGGTCTCATCATACGCTTATCACCCGGCCATCTGATAAGAGAAATGCTCGTACGCATCGCTCTCTCGCCTCGTGTGCAGCGCTAATCTTTCTCGCAGACGTTCAAACACACCCTCTTCTTCAACCTTCTCCTTCCACCCATCATCCTCAACTCGGGTTATGAGCTCAAACAAGAGAACTTCTTTCGCAACTTTGGGTCCATCCTCACCTTTGCTTTTCTCGGAACATTCATCAGTGCTGTAGGCATTGGGTGCGTTCCTTTGCTAGCACCTATACGTGCTCTGATTCACTCCTTCAGGCTCCTCACCTACGTCTGGTCCATGCTTGGTCTCGAATCCCTTCGCCTGACACTACTCGAATGCCTCACGTTCGGTACCACCCTGAGCGCGACGGATGCAGTGACGATCCTCGCGATCTTCAACTCGTACAAAGTCGATCCCAAGCTGTACAGCGTTATCTTTGGGGAGAGCATCCTGAACGATGCAGTATCCATTGTCATTTACGAGTGCGCTCCTTACTCTGTCTCCTTATCCACGTTTCTGACCATCATCTACAGTACCCTGACACAGTTTCATGGTGAGGAGGTCCGCATCGCTTCCCTCTTTCATGGTACGGGCATCTTCCTGCTCAGCTTCAGCATCAGCATGTTCCTTGGCGTGAGCGCGGGATTAGGATGCAGTCTCATGCTGAAGCACTCGAGTCTGAACATGTACCCGGGGATTGAGAGCTGCTTGGTTGCGCTCGTGGCATATACTAGCTATTTCCTATCGAACGGGTTGAGCATGAGTGGTGCGTTCCTAGTCATCTCTCCTAAGGTACATCGTGTGATATAGCTTCCCCAGGCATCGTATCCCTCCTCTTCTGCGGTATCACTCTGAAGCACTACGCATATCACACCATGTCTAAACGCACGCAACGCACGACCAAGTACATGTTCCAAGTCCTCGCCCAGCTTTCTGAGAACTTCATCTTCATCTACCTCGGCCTCAACCTGTTCACTCAGGACATCCAAGTCTTCAAGCCTCTGTTCATCATCGTCTCTACCGTAAGCAGCAGTGTGTCATGCTTGTCTCTTCTCACGCCGCATAGATCGCTGTTCTCGCAACAAGATACCTCGCCGTGTTCCCCCTTTCCACGATCATCAACTTCATTTACCGTGCGCGTGGACAGCGGCAAGAAGAACTCCCGCACTCGTACCAGATGATGCTGTACTGGGCCGGGCTGCGTGGAGCAGTCGGAGTTGCGCTCGCAGCCGGGATCAGGGGAGAGAACGCCAACGCACTGCGCACTACAGTGCTCATGGTCGTCGTGCTGACGGTGATACTCCTGGGTGGGACGACGTCACGTATGCTCGAAGTGCTTGGGATCCGTATGGGCGTCGAGGATGACGATGAGTCTTCTGCCGACGAAGCAGTGTTCCCCAACACGCCCGGGTTCGCGGGGACACGCACGCGGTACCCGGGGATGAACACGGCTGCATCGCGAGCTGCGAATATCTATGGTGTGAGCCTGGGAGATGAGAGCACGTTCTCGCTGAACGACTATGATGGTCGGGTGGGCAGGGCAACCGCGCAGCAGAGGGCGATGCTTGCGAGCGAAGACGAGTACTCTGACACCGAAGTGCTGCCGTACCAAGATGCGGCACACGGCGGTGTGGCTTCACCCAGGGAGAGCCAAGGGATTGGGTTGGAGAACATTGCCGATCTCCGAGGGGCGCTGCACATCCCTCGGGACTCGCGCTGGTTTACAGAGATCGACGAGCGGTATTTGCTCCCTCTATTTTCCAACTCTGTCGCTTCCCGCCGATTTCACGCGCGCAAGGCGAGTGCGAGACGGGCGAGGCAGGGTACGGTTGAGGGCACGCCGGAACGGGAGGAGGAGAGTGATTCTGAGATACATGGGCTTGGGGCGGCTGGACGGGGCTTGGGTGTCGGGGACGGGGTGGAGAGAAGCCAGAACTTTGCGGGGAGCGTAAGCGATTTCTTTGTCGCGCTTGGGAGTCCGAGGCTGCCGAGTAGTCCTCGTGGGGAGAGAGAGGATGGGCTGGGGAGAGGAGATGGGCTGGGAAGGGGGCATGAGAGGACTGGGAGCAGACATTCTTGAGTGGATGGGGGGAGGAGTGTAGAGAGTGAAAGAGAGAGGACTTTATTATTGTTTGAGATGTGGATAGAGTGATTTTTATTTTCCCGTTTTACTAGTGATAGTGTTGAGATAGTGCAAATGTGCAAAGTGTGTTCGTTTACCATAAAAAGATTATGAGTCAAAGGCTGGCTCACATGACCCAGACTCCGATAAGAACGGGAGCACGAGGGGTGCACGTGCGATGTATTTGAATCCGGTAATTTGATGCCGTGTGTGTGATAACCTCGTGACGAGGAGTGACAAGGTCACGGCGTGCATGCGGACTCACCTGATTCGCCCTCTTCTTCGTGCCTCTCTCGCCCCCTTCCTCATCGTCCTCCTCCTTCCTCTCGACGACCACCACGACCACCACAACACTGGCGACATCCATCTTACCTTCATAACCACTCCCTCTACACCTTCTCTGGTCACTCACAACTACTTTTGCGCGCATATACGACACTCTTGCCACCCAGTTCGCTGTCAAAAGCATTCCCAACAACATCGACCTACGCCCTTGCACTAGTCGTCTCCAACCATGTCAACACTATCCATCGATCCTGGTCTGTCCGCCGATCCCCACACGGGAATGCATTCCTCTCGCTCTCGCTCACATTCTCATTCTCCTGCACCGCCCCCCCTTCCCGCATCCACCGTCCCTCCTCCCACTCTCGGCAGCGTCGAACACATCCTCCACCAGCTCGCAGCAGTGGACGAGCACGCCGATGTTGACAAGCAACGACATGCTGCCAAGGTACTCACCGCGGCGTTGCAGACCGGGCAAAGATTCGAAACACCTCTTGGGACCCTGGGGCACGAACAGATCCTTCACCTACTTGCCCAGCTACCCAGTGCAGTGGCAAGGCCGGACGGCGAGTACGTAT